AGTTCCATTAGATCAACCTGACATAAAAAGAGAGCAATATTTGACTTTTAGTGGGGACATATAATTATATGAGAAGAGATCCATTTACTCTCAGAGTAAGTTTTAAACTTACTCCACATCTTAGTCATTAATTCTAGAGAAATCCAATGGTTTAGATCTACTCACTAATTTAAACCATTGGATTTCCTTAGAATTGATGGCTGGGTGGATCCACTCCCTAATTATATATACCTTGTTCAATCTAAATTGAATTGTAATATTAACATACTAATAATCTAATTCACTTTACATAGAAGCTCACTTTATATTAGAATAACCAATTCTATAAGTCAATCTATTTGCATTTGAATGATTCCATTAATCAAAATTTCCACAGAAACAAGTAACACAAAATTCATCACTCACCTGCAATTTTCGATCAATCTCTGTGGCCGGATCCGTCATAGTATGACCATAACTATTGAAACTCAACGAAGAGAAAAACGGCACAAAGAACGCATCAGCAACTTCTGGATCCAAAACCCTAACCGCTTCTCTTCTTTCACCATCTTCCCCTTCATGTATAAGCGATCCCATCATCCAGTACTCCACACTATGCTGCTTCTTCAGCCCCCAATTTCCAGGCCACGGCGGCCACTCGGAGGCGGTGACCGGAGTATCCGTCGTGTTCCGGCGGTTAATCATTCCAACGTTGAATCGAGGAGGAAGATCGTACATGTAAACACGTAGAATCGGGTCGGGTTGACACGTGGCGGGTGAAACCGTTGGTGATGATAAAAGTGGAAAGAAATAAGATCGAATATCAAGTGTGCCTATGAAAATTGAATATGAAATTATGAGAAGGAGCACAAAAATGAAAGATAGAACCACTTTTCCGTACATTTTTTTTTTTGCACAAATGAAATAATGATGATGTTATTTTCTGAAGGTGTTGAAATTGTAATTAGTGTAACATGGTAATGTATCTCAATCTGAATCTGTTGAAATGTTGAGTGCGGTGCACGAAAATGTGATTCTTCTATCACTGAGCTTCACTCATTTTTCTTCTGTGAAAAGAGACACATTTTTTATGTAAATTCTGGTGAGAGAACAAAATTAAGAATTATCTATATATCCTTTGTAGTTTTCCATAAATCTAACTGAGAGATTAATTGTACTATAACAAATAAAATAATAATAAATGTTTACCTGTTTTTTTGTTGTTGTTAAGAGTGAATCTAAGCTAATGGTTTTCAATAATTTACCATCTCTATATTATGGATTCAGATTTTGAAAATCAGATTATACTTAAAGCAATGTTGTATATGTCTACTTCTTCAAATGTTGTAAAAATGGAACATGAACCTAAATAAAATTAAGTTAAAATTTAAAGTTTAGTTATTATATTAAGGATCCATTTGTAAAAAATTTAAAAATATTATAAATAATATTTATTGTACATGTTATTCAATTAGAGCATTTCTATTGAATATTTGAATAATATCATTTTCATTCTTATTTAACCGTCACATATTATTTTATAATGTATTACACATCTCATAAATTAATAATAACATATATTATTTTATGTATACTGATAAATAAAACTATTATCTTAATTTTATTAAAGTTTTTTTATATTTTATAATATCAAATGGTTTTTCTCTTTCATTCTTTTATTTGAGACCAGTGGATCTATTTATCCAATAGTAAGTTTAAAGGAGTAAGTTTTTTAAACTTACTCCATATTATAGCCGTCAATTCTAAGGAAATCCAATAGTTTGAAGAATTAGTGAGTAGATCTCAACCATTGGATTTCCTTAGAATTAATGGTTAAGATGTGAAGTAAGTTTAAAAAACTTATTCACTAAATTCATTCCTCCCCTTTTTTTTACAAAGAGTATTCTTAACAAATAATGATGTTATGTTAGTAAATGAGAAAACAATATTAATAAAGGGAAGAGATTCACTTACTCCAAGAGTAAGTGTAAAAGACTTACTCCACATCTTAGTCGTCCAATTTTGGAAAATTCAATGGTTTAGATGTATTCATCAATTCAAACCAATGGATTTCCCAATAATGAATGATTATGATGTGTAATATGTTTTTTCCACTCATTCTTGGAGTAAATGTATCCTTAATAAAATGACGTTATAATACCATCAAAAATATTGTGAGTCATTTTTCTAGGCAGTTTTATTTCTTGCATTGTCACCTAGGTCCTATCATTTTATTGGAGTCATAAATTATCTACTTTCTTTAAAATTTATTATGATAAGCTTTGTGTCATTATGAAAAACAAAAAGTACAGCAACACTTCTATTTCTCTCTAATATATTAGCCAACAATTTATCCATACAAATACATTGGTTAATTTCATAGCTTTAAACTTAGTAATATTTTTATTGACCAATTACTTTCTTATAAATAAAGGCCGATGTATAAACAAATATGAATATAATTATGCACATGAAAAAGATAGAAATGTAAATGAAAAAGATAATACAAAATATTATAATGGTTCACTCTCAGATAATTATATAGAGAACTGTATCCCAAGAATAAAGCCAAGACTTCTTAATTAGTCTGCCACGTGTATAAAAAGTTACATCTCATCATTCCCCTAGTTAACACTGTTAAGTCTCAACGGCTTGATGTAATCGATTACCAAACATGGTGTAATCGATTATAATGTAATCGATTAATATGTTGTAATCGATTACATCATGTAAAATGCACAGGTCTGATTAGTTTATCAGCATGTAATCGATTACCAGGATTATGTAATCGATTACACTGTTTTAAAAGATCAGCCTTTATCGTATAGTTAAGAGATTTTAAGTTCAAGTATCGTTTTACCTAAAAGACTTAGACTACACATATGAGCTTCTTTGACTTTTGATTTGCTAGTCTTCTTTTTGCATTTGATGACATAATGACCATCATCAAAACCTTAGCCATAGGTTGGGAAAGATCACAATCTTCACATTAAGTTCTATGTTGTTTTTTTTCTTTTTTCTATACAACATTAGCTATTCTTGCTACATTAACAATGACATGTTCTTTCTTTCTATAAACTCTACTTTTTGTTTAAATGTATTAGCAACCGCAGTTTTATGAACTCTCCATAAATTATGCAGTTTTATCATCACTTATTGAATCAGTCCTTGTCTTGCGAGTGAAAGGAATTGCAAGTCTTTTTTATTTCCTTGTGATTCTTAAAGATAATAGTTGAAACAAGATGGAGAGGGAAATCAACATTTTTTATTGATCAATTAAATGATGTACATATATAATTACAAGGATGGTGACATGAACAAAAGCAAAAAAAAAATGAAATCTCAAACCTAAATACATCTAAAAGTTAATCAACCTCTTTCCCTCCAACTCTAGGCATAAAACATATCAGGTTTCAATCTCATGACATCCCAACCTATGACAATTCATACTGGAAGCCCCTCAATACGTGTGACTGTGAGTAGCAACTGATACTGCAGCAAAGATAAAGTGTTTAAATAAGTGTAGAAGTGGTTTAGAAGAACATTAAGACAACCATAAACTGTGTCAGACATTCCATCAAACATTTTGGGGGCAATATTAAAACACTAAAATTTTGAATCAAACAAAACACAAATTAACCAGAATGTATAAAATTATAAGATTGAAGATTGAAAGATTGAATCAAACAAAACACAAGGTAAACAAAAAGTAAAATTATTCATACATATTTAGGATTTTAAGTTAGAACCTGAATTTGAGTGATGGAAAAGTAAAGTGTAGTAAGAAATGAATGTCAATTGAAGAGAGAAGAAAGGAATGAAAAAGATTAAAGAACTCTTATGGGTGTTTGAGTTTTTTGAATGGAGAGAAAAATGAAGCAGAAGACTTCAACAGTAAGGAAAAAGAAGAAATACATTTGGATGGAGACTTAACAGTGTTAACTAGGGGAGTGATGATGTGTAATTTTTTATACACGTGGCAGATTATGATTGGATGCAAGTACCACTAGTACATAAGGTACTAGTACATAAGGTACTGCACCTAAGTTTAGTCCTTAATTAAAACATGGGTATTACAATTATTATTTTCCCAAGTCCCTTCACGTTCAATTAGTATTGTTTGATCACTTATACAGGTTGTGTATTCCATAACCTTATTTTTCTATGACCAATTGAGTAGTTTCATTACATGATGGAAATAATAAGGATTAATTTATAAATCATATATATTTTGTTTATCTAATCTCTCTAGGGTCAATTGAGTATTGTTTAATCAACTTGCTAACTAAGGTGAGCATGATTTAATCATCTAACTTGTTTGTGATCAGTTGAATGTTCCTTTCACACATTGACAATATATAAAATTCTTACAATTATCAGTGTATATATATTTTCTCATAAACGAATTGGGCCATATTTTGAAGTTAACTGGGCCGGGCCTATAAACATGACTATATAAGCCGCTACAACCATTTCTCTCGTTACTCCGAAGGTCACTGAGTAAAGCCGCTATGGTACTAACAAATCAATCTTCGTCTTTTCTCTTTTTTCATTATTACATCGTTTTTCAGATCTCTCATAACTTGTTGATTTTCAGGTTAAGTATTCAAGAGAGCCCGATAATTCCACCAAATGTAACTCCATTTTACGCAATTTGTTCCGTTTTATTCTTTTTCGGAATCAACGTTTTTGATAATTTTAGGTCACGATCTTAACATTACTTTTATATGTGCAGCTTGCAAGGCTAGAGGGGCTGACCTTAGAGTCCATTTTAAGGTACCTATTTCTTTCTAACTATTACTTTTTATAATATAAAATTAATTTATTTTGATGAATCCTGATGAGAAAAAAATAGAGTCTTGTTTTTATCTGTGGAACGTTCTGTATTGTCACTGATTCTAGGTTCAGTAAATGATTGATTATGTTGATTTTTAGTTGCATTATTACATGTATGTGAAGTTTGTTGGGATATTAAGAAGTTGGGACTATGTTGGGAAAATAGAATGATTGAAATCCTGATGAAAAAAGCAGGGGTCTGTTGCCTATGTGAACAGGCCTCTCGTAACTTTCAGGGACATCATATTATTACCAACGTTATTGGGTGAACCTATGTTTTGTTTGTAACTGATGGTTCAGTAAACGATGGTACATGTCTTTCAATATTTTGAACTTGTCGTTGTGGTTATGTTACACTAGCTGGCAACTGCAATTATGATTATGAATAATTGATATAAAATGCTACCATGATCTGGTTATCAGAGCTACCAAAACTGCAATATTGCATATGCACTTGCAGTTGTGGTCATCATCATAGATGTTTTAAATATAGTTACTTTGCTCGTAATGTGGTATAATTTACATGCTTTTCCTTGCTAATCAAATTTTTGTGTGCAGTTGATTGACTTTATTTTAGTTTTTTGTTTGCTTCATTTAGGAATTGGAATAAGAGAACTTAATTACTAAAACAATAATTGGAGTAAGATAACCTGATGAAAAAAGTGCAGGGATTTCGTAACCTTCAGTGATATAATAACCATTGTTCTTGGGTGAACCTTTGCTCATTCTTTGTGACTTGAGGTTCAGTAAATGATGAAACACACTTTTCAGTGGCATTTATGCATGAATCATGATTAACCTGGGTTTATTTCTGTAGTGTCTTTTCTTTGTTGTTGATAGTGTTGTCCTCATCATCTGGTATACTGGCTATTGTAGATCACACTGACTACTAAAAAAATGTACGTGCAAAGGCAATGCGTATTTCTGTTGTGTTGATTTAGTGACTGATTAAAAAAGGCATTGGTGCATTTTCACCAAATAGATAGCATGTATTTGATCCCTTCATTATAAGCACTACTTATCGTTATTGGGTTGATGTATGTTTTTCTTCTGTGAAAGAAGTTCCTTCAATGATTAAATATTCAAGTATTGAATTTATTTTGTTCAAATATCTGCATTATCTTCTTGTACTTTAAACTTTGTCAAACTTCCTTTGCAGAACACTAGGGAGACAGCGTTTTCCATCAGGAAGTTGCCCTTGGTGAAGGCTAAAAGGTACTTGGAGGATGTTCTTGCACACAAGCAAGCCATTCCATTCCGTAGATTCTGTCGTGGTGTTGGGAGAACAGCCCAGGCAAAGAACAGACATTCTAATGGACAAGGACGCTGGCCTGTCAAATCAGCTAAATTCATTCTCGATTTGCTCAAGAATGCTGAGAGTAATGCTGAAGTAAGCCTCATATCTGCTTTGATATGTCTAATTTATGCTGATTGTTTCCAAATATTTAACTGGTAATTGCTCCTTTTCAGGTGAAAGGGTTGGATGTCGATGCACTTTATGTTTCTCACATCCAGGTCAATCAGGCACAGAGGCAAAGGCGTCGTACCTACCGTGCCCATGGGAGAATTAACCGTATGCTTCTGTTCATGAATATTCTTTTACCGAATATTTTGTGGTGTTATTTTATTGATGAAGAATATTTTTGCAGCTTACATGTCTTCTCCCTGCCACATTGAGCTTATACTATCTGAAAAGGAGGAACCTGTTAAGAAGGAGGTAATAATTGATCATGTGTTTTTTATTTTATTATATTTTATTATCTCTTTGGTTTCTTCATAATCTAATTTTTTTTTCATTTGCTGTTCTTGTAGCCTGAGTCTCAGTTGGCAACAAGCAAGAAGAAGTCCAAAGTTCTTCGAAGTGGCTCTTCATCTTAAATTGCTATTTATTCAAATTATTGGGAGTTCTATATTTCCTAGAATATATCAAGGACATGTTTTGTTGCTTTTTATGTTTTTCCTTTATTGTTTGGTATGAGCATTTTCCTAGAAGAGACTTGAGCTCCATGTTTTCAACTAAATTTTGAAATGAAAATACATTAGGAAGATAATTCTTATTTTGTTGTTGTTGTAAGTGATATTAAGATAGATCTTACTATATTGTTGGTTTCTTATTTTTTAGCTTTTGATCTTAGACTGCAAATATGCAAATTAAGAATGTTAGATCTGATTAATTATTTAGTATGTTAAGGTATAAATTTTGTTGTGTTTAAAATTCGTGTCATAGAAATTATTTGGATAAATACTACTTATCCAAATAATAAAGTAATAAAGTCATTATATAAGTTGAAATGCAAGCCGTTTTCCATTTTCACGTAAGATGTATATGTTTGAAGTAAAGTTGAAGACATTCCTTGGTTGGGTGCTTAAATTCAATCATTTTCTCATTCATTTTAATGACTATTATGGCTCTATGCCCTCTCAACTTGAGAACTATCCTTCTCAGCCTGGTCAGGAGAAGCTTGAGATCATTGGTTTTCTATTTGAATTTGGTGCTCTATCTTGCCATGTATTTCACATCTGGAGAGGTGTTTCCTTATATCAATATGAACATGCCATATTGTTTTCATAAGCAATTAAATATATTTAATTACACATAAATACAAATGCACTATTGCAATTTTTTATTCTAAAATTAATAAATTGAAATTTTCATTATATTCTACAACTTTTGGTCAAACCATGATTTTGACTTTAATTATTAATGATTATACAAATTTCATTATATTCTATAACTTTTGGTCGAATCACTAAATTTTATTCATATATCAGAATTTTTGTTGTTTAAGTTAATCCCTATATATAATAGGTATATATATATATATATATATAGTATGTATATGTATAATAGGAAATGAGAATAATTCTCATATTCATAAATGATTATGATTAAAAATCAGTTAATAATTAAATTATAATGTAAAGAATCAGAAATTATTCTCATTAAGATCCAATTGTCCTATTAATTCTCACCATTTCTAGTAATGACAATCATTTTAATTCCTATATATATTCGTTCATATATATTTATATTTGTATATATATTCAAACTAGATTTTAAATGCTTGAAGTATGTCTGATAAAAATTAGAACAATGAATTATAGCTAACACATGGCCCACTCAATCTTGTAATGGGATTGTTTTTCATTTTTTATTAATTATAATTAAATTAGTGGAAGAAATTTGACTTTTCAATTCCACGAGCAATCAAACATTTGTTGGTGTGCCTTATTCAACGTAGAGATGGATATGAACTTCTTTATTCTTTTTTATAAATGAAACTTGTTCGGTTTTCAAGTGAATTATAAGAAATTAAAAAGTAAGATTGCCCTCTAAAGTTTATTTGGATCAGTATGAAATCTTTAAAAGATATAGATATTAATATATATGATGCACCATTTTAAAAAATAACCTTCAATGCTCTTTATGGATATGGAAAATTTATTATGAGATTGTTGTTTAAACGTTTGACCATATGTGGAGTTTGTAAAATGAGTTTGTAACATTTGTTGTTTATTATGAGTTCTAAAACTCTTCTTGAATAAATACTTAGGTATTTTGTCTCACTGTAAAAATTACAAACTCATTTTGCTATACACCTAATCACTACTTATATTACACATAAAATTACAACGTGTGGAGTAATACACTTTATGAATAAATGTTATCTGTCTCTATGGTTCAATGACCTGATAACTTGAATTGTCACTGAGAATAAAATATTATTTAATAGAAAGAAATAAGTTATCCCATTTAACCGTTAAAATCACGAATGTATCAGTACAAATATTTTAAAAACCAAAAAATAATACACATGTCATAATTTTAGTTGTTGAGATAAATTATGATCATATATTTTATTTTCTTCTATCACATAAGAAAACACTCTTGAAAAAAATAACTTTTTTAAAATTTGTTTATAATAATTAATTTTTAAATAATATTCCATTTCAAAAAGAATAAAAATCATAATCTCTATAAAATAAATAAAAACATATAAAACTCTTGCAGTAACAATAATAAACCTCAAAAGGTGTGTTTCTGCGTTTTGTTCAAAATCCACATCACTGTCACCCTCTTCTTCCAAACAGGTATCAACACTCTTTTCTCGTAACATTCATTTTCATGCTAAATCCTAATTCCAGAACCCTTTTCTGAGATTCGGGTTTTCATTCTTTTTTCTTAATTGATCTTCTTACATCTATATCCTTTTTATCATTCTAATTGTAAATCCTTAATTTATTTTTCGATCGTTTTTCTGATACCTGAACGAAAATCCCATCAATTTATGATCTGCCCCTTTTCTTAATTTTAGTCATAGACCGGATCTGATATTTCACTGATCTTAGATCTGTTTCATGTTTTACGCAATTTTGTAGGGTAAGGTCCAAAAAAGCTTCACAGAAGCTGAAAATCAATTTTTTCAGAAGCTATTTCTCAGCGGATATAAAAAAATCACTTTTAATTAACCCTAAATAAATGTTCCTTTAATATTTGCCTGTTGTTGTTGGTATTATGGTCATGTTTTGATGTCACTTGGAGTTTTTTTGCTGTTACTCTGAATGAATAATTCAGTGTTCATTAGAAAATTTGCAAAGTGAGTGACACTGATGGTTCAACGAAGCGTCTGAAATACATGTTTACATATTAGTGTACAATTATGCGTCTTCTGGTGTACAATTGTGCCTCTCCTTTTATCAATAGTTTGTCTATGGATATGATTTATTAATGGTAGAACAATATGATGTTTGATCCATGTAGCCGATTTCAGGTAGTGGTAAAAAAACTCGTTGTTGTTGTTTGGACATTGGATAATTTTATATATATTATATGATATAGATTGGACCCTCATGTTCTTTTTAGCAGCTATTAGATTCAATTTAACCCCCTGGAAGACATCAAGTTTTCATTTTAATTTCTGAGTCTAATGGTATAATCTTAATTATCATATTTTGTATCTTAGCATAGCTTTTTATCTTGATTTTGTTTGTTTTCTTTTTTTTCTTCCCTTTCTCATTTGAAGTTTTGCTCTGTTTTCCATTTATTTTTTCTGTTTTGTTAGATGGATTGGCAAGGGCAAAAACTAGCGGAACAGCTAATGCAGATATTGCTGCTTGTATTTGCTTTGATTGCTTTTGTAACTGGATATGTTCTAGCTTCTTTTCAATTGATGGTCCTCATATATGCTGGTGGTGTGGTTCTCACCTCTTTGGTGACTATCCCTAACTGGCCTTTCTTCAACCGCCATCCCCTTAAGTGGTTGGATCCCATTGAGGCAGAAAATCATCCTAAGCCACCACCTGCCGAGAAAGTAACTTCAAAGAAGAAACCAGTTAAGAAGTAGATTCTAAGTTTAAACTTGATGCTTCGACTGTAATTTGCATTGCTTTCCTTTCTTTTCCCCTTCAATGGATATTACGGTGTACTTCAGTTCTTAGACTACAACCATATACTTTTTGACTTTTAGATATTGCTTGTCTTGGCTAGCCATTTATCTTCTTCCATGTTTTTTTAGTTTGATCTCTTAGATATTTATTACATATTAAGGACGGAGGGACATTTGTTTTCTCAATCCTCGCAGTTGATGGTGTTAGTGTGCAATTATAATCATTCTCATGACATGATAGCCAAATGATTTCATAAGCCATTCAAAAAATAACCTACCTAGAGTCATGAAATTATTTGTTGCTTTCAGACCTTGGACGGCTAAAATGCCTAGCTACATTATTGATTGTCATTCTAGTTTATGGAATTCAGTCCTTT